GATCGATTTAGTTAATTTTGTCATTATCACCCAAAGAAGATGGACCTTATCGAAATAATATAAAGGCTGATTTCATGGTTGACAAAGTTTAACATTATTTAACCATCATATTTCTTGGAATATTTATGACAATATTTACACGTGCAACATGCTCTGATTCTTACAAAATAGTTATATTAAAATAACTTATAGTTAAATTAAACTGTAAGCCATGTGTGCAACAAACTACCGAACTTCTGAAGGTTTCCAATAATTTACTGATGGAATAAGTAGTGCTTGTGTCGGGTATATGTCAGTCGAGTGCATACAATTCTATAGTATATAGGCTGTATATAACAGAGATATGAGAAATACATGTCATTATGTTTGACTCGGATAATGCAAAATAAACTATTATTTAAATTGGATAATGGGATACATAACACATAGTTTCACTTGAATTGTTTGTTATACATAATATATATTTGAAGATACATGCCATTAAATTTGATTTTGATAGTGGAAGATACAAGTCATGTAGTTTGACTAGGAAAGTGTAAAAGGTATATATTGTTTGACTGTATAAAACATAGCATATAGATGGGATGAGATTCCATCTCTTTTATATTACGTTATGCAAAAATATATCTAGCTATATATTATAGAGTCACTCCAGGGAGCAAGATCTAAACATTTGTGAATTCGTCTAGTGTGGTACACATCATATCACAAAATAGAAATACATACAAATAACTGGAAGCAATCTAATTTTAAGTAAAAAATTACAGTTATATGATATACTTGATCTAGCAAAAACATCACAGCGAGGTTCCTTCTTATCTTTTTATATTACATTTCAATTACATCTATTACAAAATTTCAAATTCTGCATCAGTAGAAAATCGCTACCGCCAAGTTCATTCTCATTTAAAGGGGACAATGTTGTAAAGGTTTGCGTCTGTGAATTTCTGTGTTTAAGCGTCTAAGCATTGTTAATAAAAAAAAGAATTGCCTCTGAGCGATATTATTGCCCTACTCGACCTCCTTATTAAAATTCCATTGTTGTTAAAACATCGTGGTCGTGGTGGTAGAAATGCGATAACACCACCAATCTGCACCACGAGGGATATGATAAATGAATCATGATGGATGAATCTTCATAATGAAATATAAATTGTGCATCACTTTGCTCATTTGTCGAGCACTCTGTCAAACTTTTAACTACCCTGTTAGATCAATAATAAGTTTATCTTATATTACCCATTAGTTTAATGACTTTATAAGTTTATATGAATTATTCTCAAGTGACCATCTTGAAAACTAATCAAGTAATTAAGTCCATGATCATAATCAGATAATTAATATCTCGTAGACGAGATGGTTGTGATACTATAACAAAATTTCAGTCGTCTCTACGGGAAAGAAACGCTATTCTATATCTGATTTTAATCTTCTATATTTAAAGTTTGATTTTCTTCTTGAATTATTTCTTTCTATCAATTTTACAAAACAATGCCTTAACTCAATGATGACAAGTCCAGGTTGTCTGTGTTGGTGAAATAAGTGGTGTGTATTTAATGATAACAATTTAATGCACGATTGAATAATTAGCTTTGCCTAATCATCCATATGGAACCGATAATGTAGTCTTTGTAATGTTTAAGATTTTAACGTGGGCGAGTACTTCTGATTAAAAGTTCTTCGGGCGGCATTTTCGGTGGTTGATTTAGGCCTTGAATATAGAAGTACTACAACTTAGTTGACTAGAATCATGTTAAACGTATGCTCCTGTGTTCTTAACACCATTTTTGAACACAATCATGTACATGGCCTTGACAAGCGCGGTATTGTCACGAGGTCTCTAGACTACCGCTTTAAGAATATTCATTATTCCTTTGAAGATATGAGTATCTTTGTTAGGGAAAGGAAATTCACGTAATACAGGAAATTCAATCACCATTCAAACTCTTTTGACGGCAGAATACTTAAAGATTTATAGACTCTAAGAGAAGTTCCAATACAAAAGCTATATCTATGCTGTTAAAAATAAAATTGATGATGCCTCGTCTACTTCACGAAATGATTGATAAACACCACATTATAAATCAAATATGATAAAATAATTTTCTGATAAGTGCGTTTTTCAGTAATTTCAATTTTAATATCAAAGGAATATCCTAAATTCAACTTTGGTTCGCACATGCATTTGGATTAGCGTAATCGCTAGATTATTATCTGATCTGGTTTTGTGCAAAATTTGCCTTTATTGTCATCATAATTGTATGAAATATGACCAGAAACAGTCACCTCTTCGGCTCTGTAAGTGATAATTTTACTTTTCGGAAATCACATGTGTATTTACAATCGAGTGGAAAACCAGGAAAAGATTGAAGTGTCCCTTTTGTGTCAAACTTCCAATTTCCACAACCACAAATAATTTTCATAAATATTTTCATTCGTAATTGCCTTGATGCTGTGTTTCTTGATACATTTAATTTATTTTCAAGGTTATTATTTGGACTTTTATTCTGTATTATCGGTAGAGTTTAAATGATCATTATTTTGCTATTAAAAGAACAGAGCTCGGCAAAGGGAAATGAGTAAGTTGTTTCCTCTGTCGCATCAGTGGTCAAATACATGGACCCGACCGGAGGGAAATCGGCTTATCAATGTAAAAACGATATATTTACTGTAAGAAAGTCGATTATCTGATTGAAATGAAAGATATTGATATAAGAGTTTACTTTCATATCAGCAAACAACATAATTTCTTCATTGCTTATCATAGTGAAGGCAAACACCGTAATTCGACATTATGAATAACATGGAAAGCAAACATTTTCTGGTGGTTTAATAATACTTCAGTAAATAGTATTGTATTTGTGGGAGTATCATTTGAAATCTAATCCCACACACCAAAAGCTTCCATTATATACGAATTCTACGTCTGTCTTGGGTATTAAAAATCACTCTTTTGCCTAAAGACTAGAGAATGACAGTTTAAGTCCGTAATAATATGGCATCGTTATATATAATGATTCTGTACAATCTCGAGATGTTTATACAGGAACAAAACACATTTGTGCCAAAAAGAATACATAAAAATTGTAATATGTTTACCGAGTACAGACAATCCAATTTTAAGGTGTACCAAAGTAGGAATAATGATTAATGTTTCAACTAGATTGTATGATTTACTATAATTTACTGTATGATATCATGATAGAAGAGAATTTGTAATACAGCTATGATAAATGGATGTTTTGTGAGCTATCAATATGTATATCATACAAACTTTATACCAAGGTCAAACATATAAATATGATAGAAACAGGATGAAGTACGGTAGAAATATTGTATGACGAAAGTGCCTATTATTTCGACTGTTCGTATGTTGACAAAGATATTGGTAAACGTAAAGTAAATTAGTGACATTTCACAGATTTGAAATACAAATTGTAGATAAGAATATTTTCATTATCACTCTCTCAGAACACAACATAGTCGCACTTCTGTCCTGTGTTCGGTGAAATTTACAAAACGTCGCGGTGTTTTCTTTCTGTCATATCATTACATTCAGAAGCAAGCACGAAAAAGATAATAGGCCTACTAATATTGAGCGGGTCAACCGAATCTATAATGGGCTTTAGACAATATCTGTTTCTTTAAATATTTAAAATATTACTTCACCGCTTCATAGTAACTTTTATAGACTGAAGTAAACTGAACACAAGTTAAAAACACATCCTTTTGAAAAAATGTTTATCTTATAAGACCTGTGTGTGTTATAGATGTGTTAGTTTGTACGGATATTGACTAATATAGATGTATCTCTGTCAAGCGCCATTCAATAAACACATAAGAGCATTAATAACCGCGTAAACTGAGTTTAATAATCTTAATCTTTTTAATCTTTAAACATGGAGGTTTTGTATACTGGTGGCGGTATAACGTCACTTTGATAAAGCCACGTCATTTGCGTGTTCGCCATCTTGAACTTGGCTTGGCTTTAACCATAGAGTTATGACCTTCTCTAATTAACTCTTACGACATACTATAGCCACAGTCGGTTTTGTCATCACAGACACCTATAACTTATCAACCTTCTCGTCTTAATGACATGTTACCAATTTTAAAGGTGGTCTGGCTGTCAGTCTAAATAATAAAAATTTCCCTACTATTTTACTATTCCGTTTACTTATTGACAAGATTTGTCAATTAGCAGAATTTGTAACTGAAAGTGTCACTACTATTCAATACAAATGTCTGATACTGATTCAGCCGTGATTTCGCAAGTCTCAAATTAAAGATCTCCATCGTCTCTGATAGGCTATACAAATCAAAGTCATTTGAGGGTAGCCCCAGTTGCAGTTTTAGGAAACAACCTATTCCAGTGAGGCACGGGTCATTCTTTCACTTTTTTTTTTTAAAACAATATTTCTTTATTGTGAATTTAGTGGTAGGCCTACAATGTACAAAATATATCTATGCGATACAGAAAGAAGCATAGTGCGTATTTGAATCTGCCTCGCTGAGTAATATACATACATACACAAATATATTTCATAAGGTACATAAGTTAATACATGTAAATCAAAGTCCTTCTATATTATCCTGATGAAATGGAGATTGTGATAACAGATTAAAGAGAGTGATAAGAGAAATAGTTATAGACAAAGATAAGTATGTGGTACCATGGTATGGTATTATCCTTTATGATTATATAATCTGGCAACACTGCATCTGATATTTAAAATGTATGCTGGCAAGAGGGGCTGCGGGAGTTATGGACCTTGGCTTGGAGTGGAAAGGATTGTTATTTGAAATCATTCATAAGTCTATGAATCTATACATTAATCTAATTTAAACATGAATAAAACATTTGTATTCAAATCAGCTTATTATAATGGCGACGAGGACTAAAGGCTCAAGCAGTGAATTTTCGTTTATTCAAAGAAAAACATTCAAGTAAACAAACATTTTTTGTGACCACCTTCACTATTTTACAGTTTTTGAACAAAATGGCAGATCACAACGAATCTCAACTTAATTCAACGCCTTATTTTGATCCAGAAAAACACCCGAAAGACACTCTAAAGGCTTTCACGCAATTTGTCATATGCTTTGAACTACGTTATGATGCCCAATATCCGGATCCACCAAAAGTTTCCCTGGATGCTGCATTAGAACGATGGAAGATACAAAACACTACCGCAGAAGATAGAGATCCCAAACCTAATATTCTCCAATATGACACTGTTAGAAATGCATGGCGTAGCCGAGATCGTGTGGCTAAGCTTCTCGGTATGTTTACTTCCAACAGATTCTACGCTGATTGGCTGATAACTGAACCTGACGAACAGATCCGTAAAGATATCGACTGGGACGACTTTCTAACCAAAATGCGACGATTTTATAAAGGATCTGATAATGAGACTGTCCAAAATTTCCATTTTAGAGATATTTCACAAGAACCTGATGAAACATTCCCAGGCTTTTGTAACAAAGTTAAGAGAGAAGCTAAACATTGTGCTTTCAAATGTGACAGTCCTACATTTACAGCGGAGTCTACAGCCATCAGAGATCAGATAATTATTGGAACATCTAACAACAATATCAGGGAAGAAGCTCTTCTTAGAGATTGGAATCTAACATATTTATGCCAAAAAGGAATGGCAATGGAGAGTGCTGCTAGAGGTGGTATCGAAATTGCAGGTGAAACTTTAAATAGAGTTGGTCAATATTCTTACAATTCACTTCTGAAATCGAAGCAGTCCGAAAAAGCTAAGCTGCTTTTATTGTGGAAACAACTTTTCGACCTCTATCGATCAACATCGATCTAGATGTCCAGCTCGCAATGTAACATGCAAGAAATGTTCAAAAATTTGACATTTTTCTTCTGTCTGTAAAAGTGGCAAACCTTTGAAGTCCATTGATATATCGGAGCAAAATAATGAACAAGCAGAGGATATTTTCAATATCAATTTATTTATGTACAAACAAATAAAGTTCAACCCATATTACTTTCATCTATCAAAAATAATTTTAGGGTCCAGGTTATCATAAACAATCAACTGGACCATGTTGTGGCAGACACTGGTGCATGTGTAAGTGTGTGTGGAACATCACAAGCTAAACGATGGAATCTTCTCGATAAATTGGTATCCTCCAAAGTACGCATAAAACCTTATATGAGTAACCCTATCTCTGTGCATGGAACTGCTATTTGTTCCGTCACTTTTGGATCTATTTCTGTACCTGTTGAGTGGCAGGTTATTTCTGGTTTCTGTGAACCAATTTTATCTGGCGACAAAGCTTTACAACTTGGAATCATCAATTTCAGTCCAAAAGCAGAAATATTTTTTCCTATACATAGCATAGATAAAACAACTGATGACGTCTCAAAAATTTCATTACAAAAGATACTTACCCACTATCCAGAAAATTTCACTGGGTTGGGAAAATTACGACACCACCAGGTAAAGCTGCATTTTGATGTTAACGTCAAACCTGTAAATGTACCGCCAAGACCTGTAGCCTATCACCTAAAAGAATGTGTTCACTGTGCTATCGATGAAATGATCAAACAAGATGTTATAGAAGAACATCCCTCAAACCAACCTGCCCCGTGGATTTCTTGTGCTGTAATTACACCAAAACCATCTGGTGAAATTTAGATGCACGCAACGTCAATAAAGCTATTCAGTCTACAAACCTACCTATACCAAGACAAGAAGATATCAAAGCACAGTTATCAGGTCCGACCATTTTCTCCAAAATGGACTTTAAATCCGCGTTTTGGCAATTGGAACTCCATCCTGATTCACGTTTTCTAACTGTATTCCATGCTAACGACAAACTTTATCGTTACAAACGCCTTACCATGGGAATAAAACCAGCCCAAGGTGAACTAAATGTAGCCCTAAAGCCTATATTTGCCCATATTCCTCAAGCTCATCTTATTCACGACGATCTTACTGTTGCGGCTAAAAATCGCAAGGAGCATGACGAGGCTCTTGAACTTATGCAGGCCATCTCAAGGTCAGGTCTAACTTTGAATCCGCCCAAATGCACGATTGGAAAAAAGGAAATCGACTTCTGGGGTATGATAATTGTTGCCGATGGCGTGCGACCAGACCCTTCTAAAGTGTCAGCTTTGGAACATTTGAAAGCACCCACAAACAAAGAGCAGTTAGTTAGTTTTTTTATGTATGATGCAATCAAACTTCATTTCTAATTTTGCCTGTCGATCAGCTCCTTTGCGTGAACTAAAGAAAGGCCGTGTTCGATTTGTGTGGAAAAGTGAGCACGAGAGGTGTTTTAGGAATCCATTAAGTGCTTTTCGCAAAGATGTTCTTTTACGTTATTTTGATCTTAACAAACCTATATATGTATTTACCGACGCACATATAACCGACCTGGGCGCTATGTTAGCTCAGGGTGACAGCTTGGGCACTGCTAAACCAGTAGCATTTGCATCACGCACTACGAATTCTGCTGAAACTCGATATCCTCAGTTAGATTTGGAGGCTCTTGGTCTCGATTTTGGACTCCGTCGATTTAGAAATTATTTGGTTGGAGCACCCACAACCATACATATTGTTACTGATCATAAGCCATTGTGCTCTGTCTTTAATGGAAATCGACAAGGGTCGATTCGCACCGAACGCATAAAACTACGTCACCAAGATATACGATTCCGAGTGCTTTACCAAAAAGGCAAGGATAATCAAACTGACTTCTTGTCTAGAAACGCCACACCTTTCAAAGTCCTTCCAGACGATGAAAAACATGAAGTTAATGATTTAAATAATTTACTGTACACGCTTCACGCTACTCCTATCATTGACTTTATTTCCCTGGGCAAAATATCAACTGCTACATCATTGGATGTCACATTACAGGCGCTACAAAGGCTAGTGCGTGCTGGACAAACATGGATACCAAAGGATGCAAGCGAGAAACTTTTGAAATATAAATCGATTCTACATGAACTCACAATATCAAATAACAACATTCTTCTCAAGGGTGAACGTATGATTCTTCCAGAATCTTTACAAGAATTGGCCATACAATTAGCTCACCGTGGTAGTCATCCTGGGCAGATTGGCATCGAGCGTCGTCTACGGTCTCATTTTTTCTTTCATGATATGAAGGAGAAAGTCCAGAATTACGTTAGTACTTGTAAAGATTGTTTGATATTTACAAACAAGAAAACGAGTGAACCCATTAAAGCACATCATGTTCCCTCAAAATGCTGGGAAACTGTATCTGTTGATTTATTTGGTCCAATGCCATCATCACATCATGTCGTGGTCATTCAAGATATTGCGTCACGATTTCCAGTAGCAATTTCCAAGCAATGTGTTACCAGCATTGGCTGACATATACGATTCCTTTGGGAATCCAGAATTTCAACTATCCGATAATGGACCTCCTTTTAATTCAAGGGATATGTCTGATTTTGCGACGAAAAGGAACATTACTCTTCAAAAGATTCCACCACTACATCCAGCTGCAAATCCGGTTGAAACATTTATGAAACCCCTTGGAAAAACCATGAAACTTAGTAACTATAACAATCAATCAGAACGGACAGCTTTATCACAACTCATTTCTAACTATCGTGATACCCCTCATTCAGCTACTGGAATAGCACCATCTTCTATGTTATTTCGCGATGGTCATCAATCTGTGTTTCCTCGCATGGCAGTTTCATCTCAGGTCAAGGAAGCTAGAAATCGTGACGGACTTATCAAGCATAGGCGAGCCGAGAAAATCAATGACTCTAAATATCGCTACCAAAGTTTATTTAAAATTGGGGATCGAGCATTATTACGAAACTACAACAAAACATCAAAGTTTCATCCAACCTTTCTACCTGACTCAGGCTAAGTCACACATGTTGATGACACTGGCTCATTCATCCTGCTGGAAAGACAGAAAGATGGTAGAATGTTCACCCGACACCCAGATGATATAACGAAATGCGTCATCGATGAAGAAGTTGTTCCACAATCACAACCACTTACAGAGCAAGAGGTTATCAAACGTTGACATGAGTTATGTGAGACTCAAGCCAACCACGGATTGAATGATGACGATTCTGGAGACCCATTATTGGAATACCAACAACAAGATGATGGTAATGTTGCATCACCTGAACCTCGTAACCGTAGACGAAATCCAAGATATTTTAATGATGACTTTGTAAACTAAATTAATTTTACAAGTGTTCTTTTTTTTTTTTTATAGCGTTAGAACTTTTTTTTCTTTTTTTTCTTATAAGGAAGGGGATATGGTATTATCCTTTATGATTATATAATCTGGCAACACTGCATCTAACATTTAAAATGTATGCTGGCAAGAGGGGCTGCGGGAGTTATGGACCATTGCTTGGAGTGGAAAGGATTGTTATTTGAAATCATTCATAAGTCTATGAATCTATACATTAATCTAATTTAAACATGAATAAAACATTTGTATTCAAATCAGCTTATTATACATGGGTCGTCTAATAGACATGAGCAGTCTTAGAAAATAGCAAAATAATCAAGTGAACAAAGAGACGCATCGTATGCCGTTTTTGTGGTATCAAACTAGTGTTTGTATAGTATCAAACTTGTATTTATTGGTATCAAACTGGTAGTAGTAATGTATCAAACTGGGTGGTAAGTATCGAACTAGTAGTGGTATGTATCAAACTAGTAGTAGTAAGTATCAAGCTAGTAGTTGTATGGTGTCAGACTAGTAGTGGTGAGTATCAAGCTAGTAGTTGTATGGTGTCAGACTAGTAGTGGTAAGTATCAAACTAGTAGTGGTAAGTATCACGCTAGTAGTTGTATGGTGTCAGACTAGTAGTGGTAAGTATCAAACTGGTAGTAGTAAGTATCAAGCTAGTAGTTGTATGGTGTCAGACTAGTAGTGGTGAGTATTAAGCTAGTAGTTGTATGGTGTCAGACTAGTGGTGGTAAGTATCAAACTAGTAGTGGTAAGTATCAAGCTAGTAGTTGTATGGTGTCAGACTAGTAGTGGTAAGTATCAAACTAGTAGTGGTGAGTATCAGGCTAGTAGTTGTATGATGTCAGACTATAGTGAACATCAAGCTAGTAGCTGTATGGTGTCAGACTAGTAGTGGTAAGTATCAAACTAGTAGTAGTGAGTATCAAACTAGTAGTAGTAAGTATCAAGCTAGTAGTGATAAGTATCAAACTAGTATTATTAAGTATCAAACTTTGTAAAATGATAATTGGCTATTGTCCATACTAGTTTAGGCCAACCTACAAAAGCCCGTAGTCGTAAAAAATTAAATGAATGGAGTTTTACACCCTACTCTTTTTCGTCCTCTGCACAGAATTGATTTGCATGGAATATTCAAAGTAGGCTAAGAAGAATGTGTCTGCAAATGAATTTATCAATGAATACGTAAATATCATATTTATGAAAATCAACAAAAATCAGGACTTACTAAGATTTTAAGTTCTAGACCACCCTCACTGTGCACCTTTATTTTCAATAATTGTTTTTATTTCAAGATATTTTAAATCTTTAAAGATAAAGGTTGTAAAATGGAATTTATTCCTCTTATCTAAATACAACAAATTATAAAAGTTAACCAAACATAAATAATTCAAGCTATTAAAACTACTTTAGTGCACTGTTTCAGTAATATTATCCACACTAAGGTTCAGCTTTGGGTATTATTCCATTGATGTTTGGTGTGTTTAGTGATCTTCTGAGAATATGCAATTTGCATACTTGGTGCAATTCTGAGATACTCCCATTTTGTGATATTATTAGAAAGATAGGTTTTTTGTATAGCCTACCATTCAGCTCTAAGTTAAAGCGATTTCTAGGTGTCAAGTGGTCCAAACACAGTATTAAATTCTAAAATAAGAGGGTTAGCTTTTGAAGAGTGCTTAAATCAAATTGCTTCAAATATAGAGCAGCATACTGTCACGAAACCTCATTTTAACCCCTCTGGTGACGTCACCCATTGCTCTAACGGGATTTTTTGTTTTATCTCACAACATCTCTTTTATTTAAAATCCCTGCTTACATCCCGGTCTAACTATCTAAAACTTTTTAACTCCAGAATGCCTTATTAAATATAAAGTCTAACACACTGGTCGCCGACTGAATTGACCACGTTTGTAGAGACGATATTCGCCCTTTAATAGAAAATTCCACTTCTTCGAGAATGTTTAAAATTCATAAACATTATAGAGCACGTTTATTAACTCCAGTGAACACTGTTAGGTGCAATTTGTGTTCAAGCAATGCGTTTTATTTTGCATTTATGTAAGGATGGGTATCCTGGGGCCCTATACGTTCGCCCATTTCGAAAAGGGATAGGCCTAAATAATGTTGAATTTCGTTGTGTCTTCCTGAGCGAGACTCTTTCTTTACTTCCGGCATTGACTTGTCACGTGATAGTAATATTGCTACCTAAATATAGTCCCCAGCTTTGTAGCTTTTACTGGATAATTATGCCACTCTCTTATGCATTTAATGCTATTTTAAATTTTACCAATATTTTATTATGAGTTTGAGTTCATATCATACGATTTTTTTTTAATAGATTTGATTACAATATTGACTTTAGGTCTAGTATCAAATGCCATTCTTTACCGTGATACGTTTAAACGGACTCGCCTATCTTTCACGGTGAGCAGGT